GGGGGGGGGGGGGGGGGGTAGGTAACGGGAAGCTAGAAGAGACCACAGCCTATGGAAGCTGTTAGGTAGGCAGGTGCAGGCCAGCAAAAGACGCTGGCAGCTCACCGAGGTTGTCAACGAACTCGTGGTCGTCGCAGATCATGTAGTTGGCGGCGCTCGCGAGTACGGTGGCCACGGCAGGCATGTTCCAAGTCCTTTGGTGGCAAATTGGCAGAACACAAAAAGAAAACAAAAGTTTGCACGGATGGAACAACAACACGCAGCAATAATTGCAGGTAGGAGGATCGATCCAGCTGAATGAAACGACGCTACGTAAGCTTGAGGTTTGAATCGTGCCGCCAACGTAGTCCCTTCCTCAAAAGAGTTCGCTTGAGCTACGTTACACATCCCAGAGGTTCATGAGTTCTCACTGGGAGTGGATGATGCCAAGGGAGACACACGCCAAGCAAGACCAAAAAAAAAGGTAAGCCCCCCAAGAGGCCGACCTCGAACCCCAAACATCGTTATCGGAACAATAGTGCCTACGGTGCTTCCCACAGGGATTTCGGAAACAACAATTTGGTTGCAACTCGGGCTATGTATGATGGAGAAAAAGTGTGTGTGTTTGTGATTGAGTGAAACGAGCAATGGACTCCCCTTCAGTTCATTGGGCAACTTCCTTGCCCTCCTTTCATTTTTTTCTGTTGGCCATCTGGGGCTGGCTAGGTAGGTAGGGCTCCTTCAGTTCACTAGACACCTTCCTTGCCCGCTTTTTTTTTGTTGACCATTCGGGGCTGGGGGGGCTAGGTTGGTAGGGATCTCCCTCACGTGCGGTAGGTCTTCCGGTAGCACTCCAGAAGGTCCTCCCGCTTGTTGTCCCAGTCCGATCTATTCCCACGCGGACTCGAAACCTACGCCCCCCGCTTTCCTACAGGAAACGGAGAGCACCGACCCGACAACGACAGCAGGGGATGGGGGCGACACGCGATCACAGGTGTGTGTGTGTGTNGGGGGGGGGGGGGGGGGGTCAGAGCAGAAGGACCGTGGTTGCATTTTGGAATGAATCTGTCTGGGGTCTGCAAAAACGCACGCAAGTTGGATGCTGCGGTGCATTTCCGCTGATGATGCTTGACCCATGTTACAGCGTTCCGTACAAGCGAGGGAAATGCTACGAATCTCTGTGTGTCAGGCCGGCGTATCGCACTGCGTCGAGATACCCTCTCCTACGTTCTGTATCTGTAGATCGTTCGCAAGGGGTACTCGGTCTGGTACTACCTTACCACCTCACACTATTATACCTCAGGATATAAATGCATGCAGTGCGTTTTCAGGCGATAGATCATGCCTTGAAGAGCAAGAAATCAAATGCAGGGATAGGAAAACTCCAAAAGGGACAACGGCAGCAAGAGGACACACACCAGCACTCGTACAAAGGCACCAACCAGGTGGAGACCGGGGCTAAGCAAATCACGTTTCTACGGCGTAGCGGGCACGACAATCGTGGTACGGAACAGCAACTCGTGTGCGAAGGTAGGTACGCGCACACGCAGCAAAGAGCAGCTACTATTTAGTACGAACGGGGGCCACAGCGTTTGGCAACGGATATCAATCCAATCACCACACAAACGTGGACCTTGTAAAACTCACTTGGCACCGAAATCGGTGTCTGCGTAGATCTGGTCACCGAGGTGAAGCACGCAGTCCAGGTCTCCCGCCACCCGTGCCAGCCGGTTCCACAAGGCGACTTTCTCCACAAACTTGAAGCAGTTGCAGCTCACCCTTGAAGTTGCCAGGGGGGGGGACAGGAAATAAGGGCGTCAATGGGGAGAAATTGGGTGCAGCGGTTACACGACCACCATAGTCGCTGTAGTGGCAGTAGTGAAAGATAAATGAGTAAGATACCTATTGCAGCAGTAGAAAAGAAGCAGCGATACTCTCCGAAGAAGATGGCATGCGTCCAATGAACCAAGAATCTGTCGGGAAGTTAACAATGAATGTGTTGAGTGAAAAGGAACACGAATCAACACAACTCCTTCACCACCAACGCATTGTTCTCGTCAACGAACTTGCCGCAGGTGCCGAAGGTTTTAGTGATCATCGTGACAGCTGCGCGTGCTTGCTGGTGGCGGCGCGACACGTGATGCGTTCTGACTAAATACACCAAACACGGACGAGCTGAACCCTCCCAGTTTTCCATACAAAGTCCTCATACAAAGGGCATAAGATACCGATTGCATGTCGCGTCTTCCATCAGCTCACTCGTCTGGTCGCATGATGATGAATAGTCCGTCCCGAAAAGCGTTGTATGTGTATCTAGACAACGTACATGTTTTGTTCACAAGCGGCTGCGTGTGTGTCGCATCAAAACAGAAACACAGCGAGCCCACACCTGCGTGAACTCCGGTCCGAGATAGAAGCATATGAAATGCACTAATGCTACGCCTACCTACCGCCAATGCAAAGACTACAAAACAATAACAGAGAGCGAAACCGTATGTCAACTCACGAGGCATTCTTCCACCGGCTCTTGTCGGACGTGGTCGTGAATTGTGCCTCGCGCTCCTGCCCGAACTCCCCCACGTTCACAGTCACACGGACGCGCTTTGCCGGCATGAAGTGGTTGAGCTTGAACACGGTGGGCGTCTTAGACCTGACCTCCTGAACGCCCCAAAAAGGGGGGGGGGCGGGGGGGGGGCAGCGTCGAGGAGGATGAGAGCGGGGATATGTGATGTCAGGCACTAGAGTGTCAATTCCTCTTCTGTGACCCTTCTGTTTGATGAGACCGCGGACTGGAGCTCTAGCACGCCTGTAATTCTCTTGTGTGTGAGAACTGAAATAAACTTATGAATAATAATAACAATAACGACAGCTCCTACCCGGCAGAAACGATCGGAGCGCTGATGAAACGTGATGGGAGGAAAAATAAAATTGACTTTGGTCCGCTCGTGTTTTCTCTGCGTCGCTTTTTTCGCTGGCCACTGCCGCAAGGAGAAAAACAAGCGTCGTTGCCAAGCCAAGAGACACGCGTCGTGAACGTTTTCCAGCTAAACAGAGATGGCCCGACTGCACCACAACGTATTTCTCCCAGCGAAGCCGACGAAACCTCAGCACCACGCCTAACCTAGCGCCACATGCATTCAACAGAGATGTCAAGGTTTCCTCGAAGCCATACAAATATGCGACGGCCGCATCAATCACAAGGAGGTTGTCACGCCCAGCGATATGTGAGTGGTCGGGCGCAGTTCGCTTGCTGCAGGGGAGGACGAATAAAAGTCCGCAAGATGTCTGCCACCAATCGTGCATGATACCGTGTGCCTCTCTCCGTCGTTTGTTTGTCGTCCTGATTCCATTCTCTTATTATGAGTCGCTACACCACCGTGTAATTTTTCACGGGAATGTTTAGTATAGTATAGTATGTTTAGTAGAGTATGGAGAACCTGTACTAACGGCTGAGTAGAGTAGAGTATGAGAGAGGTGAATACTCTACTCACCTGAGTAGAGTACAGAGGTCAGGTACTGAACTCAAAGAGTATGTTTAGTAGAGTATGAAAAGCCGTACTAAACCGCAAGAGTACATTGAGTAGAGTATGAAGAGCCATACTAAAATGTGAGTATGAGTAGAGTATGAAAAGCCGTACTATACTCAAAAAAATGTTTAGCAGAGTATTGAAGAGCCGTACTTACAAAAATTTTAGTATAGTACGAAGAGCTGTACTAAACGCCACAGTATTCTTAGTAGAGTACGAAAAGCTGTACTAAACGCCACAGTACGTTGAGTACAGTATGGAGAGCCATACTGAACGCCACATTGAGTACAGTATGGAGAGCCATACTAAACG